AAGTCAAAACAACAATATATATATATAGTACATATATATATATATATATATTGTTGTTTTGATTATTTGATAATAATCAACTCTTTTTCGATTTGAGAGTGATCAATATAAAGTGAAATAATCACAAAATAGATCAATAAATAAATAAAAAGGTTAGATGAGAAAAAACAACTTTTTTACGGTACTTAAAGTTTCATGCCGTTTTCGGCACTCATCAGCCATATATTTAAATCCAGGGATTTAAATATATGGCTGATGAGTGCGGAAAACAGCATGAAACTTTAAGTACCGTAAAAAAGTTGTTTTATCTCATCTAACCCTTTATTTATTTATTTATTTATATTTATTTATATATATATATATATATATATATATATATATATATATATATATATATATATATATATATATATATATATATATATATACATATATATATATATATATATATATATATATATATATATATATATATATATATATATATATATATATATATATATATATATATATATATATATATATATATACTACCATTCATAATTATTCAGACAATTCGATATATATATATATATTTTATTTATATATATATATATATATTTTTTATTTATATATATATATATATATATATATATATATATATATATATATATATATATATATATATATATGTTCATAATTATTCAGACAATTCGACCGGCTAACACATGGAACTGACTTTCAATTGTTGTGTTTGGGCATTCAAAATTTTAAAACTTTTCAAACTTTTAAGCATTTAAACTTAAGGAAATATAATATAAAGGAAAAATTTGATTTATTAGACCAATTTTTTTTTTTTACTTTTTATTGCAAAACAATTTGAATGAAAAAATTGAAGAAAACATCAACTTAAAAACCATATGAATGAAAAAATTAATTGTACTTAAATTTTTAATAATACGCCAGATCAAGATATAAATAAATAAAAAAAGTATTACCAATGTTTTTTTGCTTTAATCTTAATTGTTTGGTTTATAGATTATAGACTTGTATGGTCTTTAGGCATATTTTTTTGCAATTTTAAAGTTTCACAATGATAATGTTTTAACTTATTAATTAGAACAATTCTATTTATTTACTTCATTTTATTTTAAACGCATTTTATGTTATTAATGTTTTAAAACAGCAATAAAACACCCTCACGAAATTGTTTTACATTAACACAAGCTCTTTATATTGTCCAAACAACTTTGCAGTTTGTTTTATTGTTGTTTTAAAGCTTTTCACAATAACCTTTGAGAAAAACACGAGTTTTATTGTCAGCATGAATGTATTAAATAGTTTTTTATAACTAATTAAAGTGGTTTAAATATTGTAAAATTTGCGCTTTTACTTTTACTTTTTTAAGTATCATGCTAAGTAAAAGCAATTATTAAAAGTAATATCATAATAGTGTTACATACGTTACTAGCTCATTACACTATAACTGCAACTTAAACTTTAAATTATAACTTGAGCTGTAAATTATAACAGTAACTTACGCTATTTTAAACTCCGCCAAAAAATAAAATTATGAGATAATATCGAAATACCAGAGATATGTTGAAAAAAAAAATAAAATTACAAACTATTGTAAAAAAGATACAATTTTATACAAACGCAACCCCTCTTTACCACAAAGCGGTGCCAGAAATAAAGATGGGGGAAGTTTAATTTTTTTTTTTTTGCAATTAGATTTTTTTACATTAATTTAAGCCCTGTGTGTGTGTGTGTATATATATATATATATATATATATATATATATATATATATATATATATATATATATATATATATATATATATATATACACTAATAGAATAGCCTGCACAAATATGGAAATAATTATTCGACTTTTATAAAGTCAGTTTTATGCTTCATTTTTTTGCATTTTTCCATTTCTCAAACTCTGTTCGACAATTTTTTGCCCACTTTGGTTGACAATTTTTTGCCCACTTTGTTTTTCCTGATTCATAGGGGCTGAATAACACGCTACCTAGTTCGCTACATAAAATATATAAATTATATAAAATATAATATACAACATTTATGACTTCTTTGAACATTAAATTAATAGATTTAATATACTTTAATTTAATAAATTTTATTTACTTAATTACATTAGCTAACACTTTTAAATTTAAAAAATATTAATTGCATAAAATTAAAAACTTAACTAAAAACAAAATTAATTTTTTTTTTCTTCCAATTATTTAATAAGAAATGGCAATGTACAGATAGAGTACATTACTCTATCTGTAGAGTAACCTACTCTAATGTGTAACAATGATAAATTAAAATTATTGATTTTAAAGAGTCTATTGAGACTATGTGCAAGAAAATAAACAAATATTATTAATGTTAAATACTTTAATATGCTGAGCAGCAAAATACAAAACTTTTATTAATCTTTGTCATCACTACTTTAATATTAAACAAGCTATTTTAAAAAGAACAGAGATTAAGCATAATGGTAATAAACATATAATGGTTTATAAATAACAATAAATGAAGTTTATTATTTTGAAGTTATTATTATATCATCATTACAATCAAGAATTACTGTGGAAAAAACCTTGCCAGATACAATATACTTTTATTATTCTATTCTAATTACCAAATATATCATTTCTTTTAAAAAGATAAGTAAATAAATGTTTAAAGGTTTATCCTTGTACAGATATTAAAAGAACAAATTGTACAGATAATCCAAGAACAAGTACCGCCAACAGGGGTGACTACAAATGGTTTTTAAACATTTTTACATCATATAACAAAATAGTTAGTCTAACTGCTAACTTTTTTTTTAACAGAACATTATACTACCCAGCTTCCTGAATTGGTGAGAATGAACAGCTGATTCAGGGATTATGGATAACATATTGTAAGGGGGGGGGGGGGGAAACTGTTAAAGATCAAACAGATAACAGAAAGTGTATTTTAATGTTGTAGAATCTTTTATTTCAAATCAATTTATGTGAAAAAATTACATACTAAATTTAAAACCTAGTTTTTTCAACACATTACAATAAACAACAACATTTACAAAGCTGCCTTTTTTATAGCCCCTTTGATCAAACTTTCTATTCTCCACTTTGAAAGAACAGTCCTCCACAACTGCTTTAATCCTCTAAATACAGCAACATCTAGCGGTTGACAAAGATGGGTTGCATTAGATAGCATTGTTATAAATTTGATGTTATGTTGAACTGTGACTTCAACACTGGGTCTAAAGCCACGACGAACAATAACAGCTTTGGTATAATTATAGATGTTTTCTGGAAGTATCCTTCAATTCTTATTATAAGTTGTTAAAACAATGGTTAAGGGTTTCTTCCTTGACTAAAGCCCTACTAAGCTTTACAATGTCAGCAACTCTTTTCATCAAACAATGCCTTTTCATGACTGAACCCAATCTAAACCAGGCATATTATTTTTAAATATAAAGTCCAGTTATTTTACTTTCATCACAATAACATTTAAGTATAAGTCAAATGTCCAAAGAATCAAAAGGTATAATCCAATCTGTCATATAAGTAATAGTTTGAACAAATAAATTTTTTGTAGAACTGTCAAATCTGGTTTGTCCACCATGGTTTTTCGGAACTTGATTCTCAAGTTTTACGTTTTTATGGAGAGTTCTTAACAGAATGTTATAAGTTTTAGTAAAGTAGTAAATCCATAAAGTAGTAAATCCATAGTAAATCCATAGTTTTTCACTTTATTTACTGCTGTTTGTAATTCTTTTTGAATGTAATTTGTTTTTTAACCTCAGCTATTTTCCTTTCTTTTGTAATTTCGAGGCATAGTTCTTTAAATTAATAAAAAAAACTTGAATTCTTGATTTAAAAATGCCATTTTTAAATGAGCAAATAATCATTTGCAGACAAGCTACACCTTCAATTTTAATTTCATTAGAACAATATGTACCTGAACTTGATGAGTAGCAACTTTTATAGTGTTTTGATACGCGCTTCTTAAGATATAGCTTGATAAGTCAACTAACTGTTTGAACAATGTAACTCATCCTGTTAATATGCGATAGAGAAAAGCCAAAAAAGGAAAATATTTTGCACAGTCTAAAATTAGCCTCTAGAAATTATATTTAATGCAACTGGATCAAAATAATACACAATTTAGCTCTATTGTGTGTTGTTTCACCTTTTAGTTAACTTGGTACTGATGTTCATAATAATCCTGCTGTTCATAGTCACCTCCGTTGATGGTACAAATTAATTTTTTTAAGGAGAAACTTGAAATTTTAATATGACTTCTATTATTTTTAGTGGAAAATTTATTCACTTAAAAGGTAGAGGATGTAAAGGGTTATTTGTTAGGGCTCTGTAAAGGGTTATTTGTTAATCTTTTAACTTTAAGCAATTTAAGTTAAGAAACTTTTCGGAAAATTTTTAAAATTTTAGACACAATAAATTGAACTATTAGCGATATGGAATTGACCTAAACATACCTATATAGAAACATTTATTATTTTATTTAAACAATTTATTAAAATAAAGAACTCACATTCGTTCCTGAAGAACACCATAATAAAAATAACAGAAAAAAACTCCTAAACAACAAAAAATTAACTTCTGATTTTCATTCATTTTGAAATTTGAAAAATATGCTGTTTTGTATTTATTTTCACGGTTAAGTGTAGGAATATCCAAAATTACTTCTTTTTGAATAACCATGTCATTTTTGAATTGTTTTCGAGGTATTCCGCGAAACCGCTACTTTGTTAGACATACGGTTAGTAAAATGTTAAAACTCGTTTTTCAATAGTTATTTTTTTATCGTTTAGTTGCCAGTGTTGGTAGTGATAAAAAATACACTTCTTGATATGCGATTGGTAAACAATTAACTTGGATCTCGCGGTCCGAAATGTAGACGTGTTTCAGACCTTATAGCTCCGTAAGCCTCACCGTTAAATCTCATGCAAAGTGCCACTGAGTTAAATCTGAGAGAATCTCATGCAAAGTGCCACTGAGTTGATCACAACTGCCGAAGTAAAATTTCCTTTTTCGGAGCATAAAAACCAAGCTACTTTAATTAGAAAAGGTTGATAGTTATCAGAAAAAATATAATCACAAAATTTTATTTTTGGTGGCAGGTAGTTAAATCGTGACAAGGCATTAGCTTATACATTGGTTCTAAATATAGTATTTATTCTTATAAAAAAATGCGATAGTGGTCTATAAATACAGGGTATTTAGTGTTCCCATCTTGTTATAGTCTATGCAAGTCAAAAAAATTAAGTAACCTATTGAATTAACTAATTTCTGTTACAAAAACACGTGTTCTTTTGTTCTATCTCCACATTTTTGAGGCTTGAGATAAAACAATTTGAAAAATAAAAACTATAGGAGACCGCCTATAAAAACACTTTTTATAACTTTTTATACTTATATTTTATCCGTAACTTTTTTACTTATAACTTAGTTTTCAATACAGTAAAAAAACATTAATCTGAAGTACATAACACTATCAATAATTCAATTTTTCCAAAAAGTGGAGATAAAACAAGATAATTCTAACGTCGCGAAATTAAGTTTATTATTTTTTTTTAACAAAACAAATGTATTTACTTCAACAGAAATTAAAAGAGATTGTAGATGATTTACTGAGCGTCAGTTGTACAACAAACTTAAAGTTAAAAAACAATTGTCGCGGAAGTAAAATCAAATTACTTTCTGAAAAAAGTGTTGTAAAACAAGTTCGCAAAACTGTTGTGTATCATTTCTAAAAGTATTGAAAACGGTTAGTGATGAGTTTTTATTATTCTTACAAGTAAAGTAACCATATAATTCTAGGTGTTTTTTAAGACCCAGATAAGTATAAAATAATTGGGAAGATACACAACCCTTACTTTTAAAATATAACGAAATATTTCAGATAAAAATTTTTATCAGATTTGGGTACATGTTTTAAATGTCTAAAGATAAAAATTTAAGATATACTTTTTTCATTAGGGATCTCAGAATGTCATATTAAATAATAATCGATAGTTGGCAATTTTTCCAAAGATTATCATGATTTTCAAAGATTATCATGAATTTTTGCATTAAACTTTCATTATTCAGGCGGAATATACTTTTAAATGTTCGTTGCACTAAAGGATAAGTAAAATAAATTTTAAACTTCAATACACAATGCAAGGTAAATGATCTTCAGAATGCTAGGAGAATGTAACATAATTTAAAAAAAAATGAAAAATTCTTGAACATTCTTCCCATAATTTCACTATTAGGGTAAGGTGGGGCAAGAAGCCCCTACTTAATAAACTCATTTGTACATGACAAACACTTTTACATTTTCTAGCACTTTGGTAAAATAAAAAACTACTTTATTACCGTGGATAAACTTTGATAAATTTATCACCAGTGATAAATGCATGGTTTTTTTTTGCATTATGGGTGCTTGTTTCTTTTTTTTCACATTTCTTTTATGCTCTTATAGTCGTTTCTTGAAAGGTGATAAAGTGAGATTTCTTTTTCGTTTTCTTAATATAGCAATTTTGGGACGCGGGGAAATCTTTCTAAAATTTTAGGGTCAGAATTAGAGCCAAGAAACTCATCAACAACTGGCAAATATGGTATTTTCTTATGGAGTAAAACCACGACATTTAATTATGGTGCTTGTGTTTTATCTGATTATCTCTTGTTGCATCAAAATAGCAACTGTTTTGGTGAAACAAGGGTTAATCAGATAAAACAAATGGTTGTTGACAGATTTCCAATGGCTCAGCTTCATGAGTAAACAAAGCTGTGCCAAATGTTTCGTTGCTAAAAATTGGCCTCTTTATTGGATAATAACCAGAACATCTAAACCCATTGATTGCTTTGTCAATGTTTGCAGTAGTTATAGGCAGTTGGAAAAACACCCACCAAGTCGAAAATGAAATTCTACGCCCTTGATTGGACAACTTCTGATGGTGAAAAACAGTTAGCTGTGATGGAGGGAACATTTGGATATCAGACCATAATTCATAACCAAAATTTTAAAAGTATGAATTGCACAAGTAAATTAATGAAAGGCTTCATAATGCTAAATTTTTATGTGCTACGACAAAATATAAAGTTGTTATTAAATCAGTATTTAAAAATTGCTGCGATAAAGTTTTTGCAGAAGACTTGAAAAATGCAAAATTTGTGACGATTTTATATGATGCCTCAAATCACAATAAAACCGAGTTGTATCCAATACTGGTATTTTAATGTGACCAAGGGCATTCAAGTAAATACTTTAAATTTAGAATCTATTGAAATTGAAACTGCTGATATTTTGTCACAAAGGGTGTAAAATGACAATAATTTGAAATCTAAAGTACACGCAGGGTGATAAATGAAAAAAAACTTAAAATCTAAAGTAGTTGCACTAACAGCTGCTGTACAAATACAAATATTGGTGGGCAAAGACGATAAACAACTTCCATGTAAATTTACAAGACTTACTTCAAAAGAAAATACTAGAAATTGGTAGCAATCAACATATTTAGTCAAATAAAATTAGCGTAGCATCATGTGCAATGCCAATTGATGTAGAAGTTATAATAACCCTAGTTTATTTATATATTAGTTGATTTACTGTTTGTGTGGTTTCCTTAAAACAATTTTGCGAAGAAGCAAATGTTGAATACAAAAAACTTTTAGGATTTTCAAAGTTATATCGCTTGCTTTAACACCTGCTATATAACGTGTTATAAAATTATTTGAACCCCTCCGTTCATATTTACTATATTTAGAAAAATGTCCATAAGATCTAAAATCTTTTTTCAATAATGAATTATATTCATATAGAGATACTTATGTACTTAGAACACAATTAGACAACTTTAAATTAAAAACAATTTAAAAGATGTAAAGCGATAATATATCTGCTGCAGAAATTAGTCTTATATAGGTAGTACCCCAAGAAATAGAGACACGAACAGTTAAAAAGTATTAAAAAAAGGATACTCAACTAAAGATAGGAAAACTGAAAAAATATCATATAAACTTGGAGGTTTTTATTTTAAATATTTATTCCAGAAATTATACATTTTTTATGCTTTTTGACTAATTTAATTTTTATATCGCAAAATCTCGATGCGAAATGATAACTTCTTAAATAATAATGCAGAAGTTCTGAATTTTTCAGATTGTTTTTCATATTATTAAAATTTATCACACGCAAATTTCTGTTGTAAAATAAAAGTGTGCTCTAGTTCTAATCAGATTTTAATATATTTCTTGGGGTACCACCTTAAACAATTTTACCCTTTAAAAGAAATTTACGATTTAAAAATTTAGAAGAATCTGTTTCACGAGTAAGAGATAAATTTACCAAAAAAGAATTTTTACCAAACATGTCAAAAAGTGGTCTGAAACAAATATCACAAAAAAAAAACAGTATTCAATGATGTATTCTAAATTTAGCTGTTATTTGGGCAGATATTGAAAAGTGTGATGAGTTTTTAGGACAGCATCATAAAAACTCATCACACTTTTCTTTCGACCAGAATTAACGTCGGCATTGCCGAATGCCGACCTTAATTCTGAGGACTATAACCCTAAGGCTTTTTTGGTGTTTTATACCAAATGCTCAAATATAATTTTGAGAAATCCTTATTTCAAAGAGAACTTGCTTAATGTTTTGAGAATCTTAACACGCATTTTTTAATGAAAATTAAATATGAAAACAACAAAATAGGAGATTTAATTTTATTGAATAGTGCCAGCGTTAGAAGCTATTCTTGGCCATAATTCGGCGCATTCTTTCGCAACTGGTCCAGTGATTGCTGATCCTAAAATTATGGATAGTATTTTATAGAGAAGTGAATTAATAAATTTTAAGTATATACCAGCAACATTGACACAACTATATCACTGAAGTTAATTGATTTTTAGTAAATTTATAATTTGAGTCCAAATTCAAGACTAAAAAACTGATTAATTAAAAAAAAGTTTTAAAAGAGCATATTTCCTAAAAAGAAAATTATATAAACGTTACCTTTCATTTCACCTTTGTTATTAACAATAACACCAGCATTATCTAAAATAATTGTTAAGTTAGTAACAAAATATAAGAATAACTGGAGTTTATTAAAAATTAATGATTAAACATTGTAACAGAAGACTAAAAAACAGTATCAAAAACATAATTTAGCCGACAATCATTACCTTCAAAATAGATAAAAACACCGTTCTTTCTGCGAAATGGTTTTCTTTGTCTTATAACTACTCCAAGCATAACTAAACGTGAAAAAATCATTATTATAGAAATATTCACACCTTTTTTTCTGCTATTCATCATTGAGATTATCAAAGTTTTACTATCGATTAAACTACTACATATTGAAGTAAACAAATTTAATTTTTTAAAACTTTAGTTAAAACAACTACAAAATAAAAAATAAAAAAATAATAACAAAAAACTTTAAGAAACCTATGCTTATTTCAAAGGATTAAAAAAAAAAAAAAATCAAGTTACTTATTTTAAACTACTATTTCATTGAAATGTTTACATTTCATATCTATTACTCTGTACACACATTTTAAGTTGAAAATTTACAATTAAATTTCAATTTTATGTCAAATTTTATGAATTTTAAATTTAAATGAAACGACAGAACAGTTAAAGAATTTTTGCTGTTTTGCACCTTTAATTTTGGATTTAGCCTACTTGTTTTCCAAGCTTGTAGAAATTGGTCAAGAGCAAGTATTTAGTATCAGAATTTGTTTATAAACATGTTGCCTTCACCTCAAAAGCTTAAACAGCTCGACTGTAGAATCTGTTTATCATGATGACCAGGATTAAGCTAACATTCGAGATAATATTATACTAATAGTATTCTATTAGTGATATAGTTTTTAGTAATCTATATACTCTAAATTAAACTTTTTTTTTATTTACAAATATATTAGCAAAATAGGCTGGGCATATATGAATACTACACCAGCCCACACAAAACCACAACTCTAACTTTACTATAGTATGGCTTTGCGCAGTATTTTTAAGGCAAAGTATAAAATTGTAATTTAAATTTAATCATAGGCACAGTTATTTTAAAAACAGACTACAATTTTACATATTTGATTTAAAAATTTTATAACAATTTCATGTAATATAAATTAGGACAAAACTATGCAGACAACAGCACTTTAACAAATTTTAAACACTTTTTAAACTTTTTAACTGAATTTGGTCTGTCAACTTCTTATTCAGACAGTAACCTACTGTTGTCTAAACTATTTTCTTTTTTATTTAGTAAAGCATCGTAACCAATGTAATTTTTTCCATATTTTATGTTACAACTGTAGCTAACTTTAATTGTATTTGGAATAAAAACTTAAACTGTATTTTTATCTTTGGTTTTAATATACTAAAATAAAAACAACTTAGTTTCTGTAAAAAGGTTACATTAACCTTTTCAGTTAGCTAATAATTTAACCATTTGTTAAAGCCATAAAATTAAAATATTCATATTAATGGTCTAAAATATATTTTGATTAAACTATAAATGAATAACACATTTATATTATTTTAAGTATACTTTTACCACTAAATACTGTTATATTACTCTGCTTATAATTACTAAAATGAGACTAAAATAATTAAATTATACTAACATAATTTTAGCAATCACAAATTCTAATGCACATACTCAAATCAAGTTTGCACATAAAATTTTCCTATAAAAAGGGAAAATTTTAATAAGTGATCAATAACCAAAATAATACTAAACTAATAATACAGTGAGAAATGTATTTTATTTAATATAAAATTATTTTGCATAATTTGTATTTAAATTTAAAATTAATAATATTTCACCTTTTTTTCTAAGTTCTGGCTTTCCTTTTTTGATGGAAGTAACAAACATATCTCCACATGTAGCAGAGGGTAGACGATTAAGTCTTCCCTTTATTCCGCTAACAGCAATTACAAACATGTTCTTTGCTCCAGTATTGTCTGCACAGTTCATGACTGCTCCAACCGGGAGGGCAAGAGACATTCGGAATTTTCCACCAACCCTACCTCCAGCTACAAGAAAATATACAACTTAGTAACATCGGTACACCACGTATTAACATTCGAATTTATAAAATTATCCATAGCAATATCAGATTGGTAAGATAATTCCAGGTTGAAATAATTTTTTTTAAACTTTAAGAAGTTACCTCTTTTGGCCGACATATTGGCAATCACTTATTAAAAGAACGGGAATTATTCCGCAAAATACTTAGGCAATCAATTACGGACGTTATTGAAACAAGCAAAATAAAAGTTTATCAATAGGTGCGGATGTACCGAAACAATGTTTCCGTAACAAAGGAATCTCGGGATATCCTAACACTGTTTCCATTTAATTGCCACCTTAAGTTCAATTGATTAAACCTAATCAAAACCAAAATTCTTTTCAACTAGGTTTAACTGTTTAGTGTTTTTGTTTTTTCTTGTTTTTCTTTGTTTTTCTTTTTTCAAGCTTCCAATTTTTAAAATCTTTTTTAACAGTAAACATTCACAATCTGTTCAAGAGTAACGTACACAATATATATATATATATATATATATATATATATATATATATATATATATATATATATATATATATATATATATATATATATATATATATATTATATATATATATATATATATATATATATATATATGTATATATATATATATATATATATATATATATATATATATATATATATATATATATATATGTATATATATATATATATATATATATATATATATATATATATATATATATATATATATATATATATATATATATATATATATATATATATATATAAACATTATGGTTATGACTTTTTGACTTTAAAAAAAATAAATAATTTGTGTGTCATAAATTGATAAAATTTTATTATTAAACATTGAAAACATGTTTAATTCCTCTTGGTTGTAAAAAAAGGTCACCCTGTAATTCAAATTACGTTTCGTCGTTTATTTAATCTTGTTACTGCTACTACTACTAATACGTGTGGCTTTACTGCAAATCATTTAACACTTGTATAGATTAGAAGTGTTTAGAACTTTAGAACATTTTCGAAAATAACAGATTATTTTAGAAAACTTTAAAACATTCTAGAACAATTAAAAACATTCTGGAATAATATAGAACATTCTAAAACAATTTAAAATATTTTGGAACATTTTAAAACAATTTAGAACATTTTCGAATATTCTTGAACATTTAAGAGCTGCTCATCTTATTTTATAGTTATTACAAAAGCAACACATGGCGTCGTACAAGCCTAGCAATAGTAGCATTCAGAAGAACAAGGATGTCTCGACCAATAATGTGGTAAAATTTGAAGACTGTCATTAGAGAAGAAGAATGGTCCCTTTTGAAGAATATTCACTCAAAGAAAAGTGCAGAATGCCTCTCCAAAATCAAATTATCGGACGCTACCATTTCCTTGGACCAAAAATCTAAGGAAGAAAGAAACGAATAGCGGAATAACAAATAAATTTTCCGAAGTAGTCACTAAATTGTGGAAGAATAAACTAAATTTTCCTCATGTATCTGATCAAGTTATACAAGTAAAGCTTGATAAAAAACTGAAATGTTATGATAAACCCATTGATCAAATTATTGATATTACTAAAGTGGACGGAACACGGTTATCTTCCAAGGACAAGCGATTGTACCATCTTCAAGTGGAAAGCAAAGGAACAGTGGGATACTCTACAGGCCAAGTGGCCAGTAAAGAAACGATCCATCCCTCTAAACTTTCTAATGAGTCATCCAACTCATTATGTTACTATCCTGGTTTTAGTGATTCTGACTCTGAGGCTGACGACAGTGATTATGAAAACAATGAAGAAGAAGATGAGGCAACTCCTACACAAGCAGAAAACATCATAAAAGCAAAATTGCAGTTAATTTGGTGACCTTTACAAATAGTATCAACAAACAAAGCTGCTAACATATGCAAGCAATTGGTTCGTGAAGGCATTGACATTCCAATTCCATGTCAATCAGCTAATTTGCCTATTTGATAGTTGACTTTACAAGTCAACTATCAAATAGGCAATCAAGCTAAAGGAAGAAATGATTGAAAAGTTGCATATGGAAAGTTAGTCCTTACACTTTGATGGCAAGCATTCAACAGAATAAATAATCAATTGGTCGTCCTTAAAAATGAAAGAAGAGAAATCAAATTGGATGTCATCAGCTTGGTAGATAAGGGTTTTAACTATTGCTCAAGAACTTTCTAAAGTTCTCGATAAATTTCACCAATGGAATTCAATACAGATGATTGTTGCAGATACCACTAACGTTAACACTGGAAAAAAGAATGGTGTTGTAGTAATATTGCAGCAAATGTTCACAGAGAAGCTCATCAACAAACCTCAGTTTATCAGTTTTCAACACCATGTATTAGATAGAATCCTCCGTTTGGTGATGGATCAAGAACTTGGAAGTAAAAAACAATTGCAAACATAGAATATCCGTTTGTATCTCAACTGTTGAAGGAGTACGAACAACTAAAAACAGTTTGATAACGGAACAGAAGTAATTATCAAAACATCAAGCTGGAGAGATGATATGAAATTTTTGTTTTATCTCACTCGAGTGTTCCAATTTTTTGAGAAAAAGGAACATTTTCCATTGATCAGATTTCAGAAAATACCCAACATCAGCAATGCGAGGTGGAACTCCAAAGCTATACTAGCAATCCTGGCCTTCATTTTAATTCCTTTAAAAAGGACAGTTCTGTTGAGAGTATATCGATTTATATCGCATGGCTGGGCAGACTATTGGTTTACAGACCAACTGTACAACGAAAAAAACTTTAATTACTTGGCTGAAATACTGAGTCCATACAAAAAGGCATTAAGCTGAAAAATTACTGGAAGCGAGAGCCATTCATACTACAGATACCCAGATGTAATCAATTGCAGAGTGCGCAATCAAAGTAATGGAGTAAATTTATTCATTATGCAAAAATAAAGACAAATTGCACCTTCAATTCCTTCTGTGCAACAAGCAAAAGCAAAGTCAACGGTCTGAGTCGATGTTGGATTGAAAATTTATTATATTACATAACTATGACATTCTAAATACATTTGAATACATAGTAGTACTTATGTCAAAATCGGTTGAAAATAATAGTTCATTTTGTGCTTTTTAGGTAAAAGTTCATCAAACTACAATACAGAAGCATAGGGTTGATAAAAAGTCATAATCCTAATATATGTATATATATATATATATATATATATATATATATATATATATATATATATATATATATATATATATATATATATATATTTATATATATATATATATATATATAAATTAGTAGAAAAGCACTTAACAAAATTTTTTTTTTCATTTTACACTGTGTTTCATCAACAAAGACTCATCAGAAATGAAATTTCATTTCTGATGAGTCTTTGTTGATGAAACATAGTGTAAAATGAAAAAAAAATTTTGTTAAGTGCTTTTCTACTAATTTATATATATATATATATATATATATATATATATATATATATATATATATATATATATATATATATATATATATATATATATATATATATATATATATATATATATATATATATATATATATATATGTATATATATATATATATATATATATATATATATATATATATATATATATATATATATATATATATATATATATATATATTAGGGTGGCCAAGATTATCATGGTAAAATGTTAAAAAGTTGGGGCAATGCCAGATGAGAAAACTATCGGATATGGACCGCCTAGTAATGGGTCAACTTTGAGAAACTCTCTGTTTCATCATCAAGAACTTAGAATGACAGTTGCGGAGAGCGTTAAATTAACCATTGAAACTGCAAGATAAAGCCCGCATTCCAACGAAGCGCGTTAACTTGGCGTTTCGTTGATATTAATTAAAGATGTATTAGCAACCATAACCAAAGATGAAACAGTTCTTCCATATTGTGCGAGATAATCTATTTAGTGTTAGTTCGGCCATTGTAGATAAAAATCTGCTAATAAAGAGACACGTAAAAATAGAAGGCTTTTGCAGGCAGTTTCTTAAAAAAAATCTGATATTGAAGTGCAACAAGCACTTGCAGCTGCTTTAGTGCTAATGATCATCAACAAATCTAGTAGCAAATCAAGCCGCGATTCAAATGATAACAATTTTGATGCTCCTTTAATTTCAACAACACATAATCTGAAACTAAAAAGAGTGAAAAAAACTGATATTACACAGGAGATTCCTGCTCGCGACCGCGTAAAGCTTGCAGACCTTGATGCGATGTTCGTTGTCGGTACTGTCATACCGACGTTTAGTTTAGTTTAGTTTAGTTTATTCAGTAATCGATCATAAAATTACAACAAAAAATCAAAGCTAAAAATAAAAATAAAATGATCGATGAAGAGGCTCCTTTGTTCTGACAGTCTAGTGCTGCATACAAAGCATCTATAGTTAGATAAAAAAGTTTTTGAAGTAGTTGACACTTTGCGCATCAATAGTCTTTTGCGGGAGAGCGTTCCAGTGACGTACAATTCGATTCGTAAAAAAATGTTTTCTTTCAATAGAATGATTTACTCTTTGTTTATCAAGGCACTGACTGTGACTTCGAAGGTTGTAATTTAGTCTAGCTAAGTGTTGCATCTGTGGAACATAAAAAAAGATTTAGTCAATGTTTCGAGTGATTTTGAATTGCTGAATTAGGTCGCCCCGTGTTCTGCGGTCTTCAAGAATTGTTAAACCTAATATTTGCAATTTTTGTCGCACACTTCTGCACTTTTTCTAGTGTTTCAATGTCGCGTTTTAGAAACGGCAACCAGGCTTATATCGCAAACTTGAGATGCGGGCGTTTATAAGCTATATACAATGTTCTCCAAACAACGATATCTCGACTGCGGAATGCTTTTTTCAGCCTACCAAGTACTTGATTGGCCGTTGAGGCTGCTATCTCAACCTGATTTTTTAGTTTTAAGTCATCTAAGACCATGACGCCAAGGTCTCTTTTGTTCTTGGTAGCTGCAAGATCAATGTGCAGCGATGACGTTATCCGTCATCACTGCACATTGAATATGGTTGTGTTGACCTTTTGGTTCCACGGCCTATGTGCATTACTTTGCATTTTGCCACGTTGAAAGGCATGCGCCAAATTTTGGACCACTCCGCGGCTTTTTCTATATCATGTAAAACTGAACAGTCATTTTCAGATTTGATGATGCCAATGATTTTGCTATCATCTGCATATATTTTGATGTGATGCGCAATTTTGTTTGGAAGATCGTTGATAAAAAGGACAAATAATAATGGTCATAGAACCAAACCTTGTGGAACTTCACTTGATACAGATACCCAATTTGATATAGTCCTTTCATGACTACATGTTGTTTGCAAGCTAAAAGCCACGCTTTGATCCAATTCAAAATGCACCACATATACCGAGTGCCCTTAGTTTGTGTAGCAAGCGTCGATGAGGAACTTCTTGGATTTTGCAGACAATTGAGGTTAGAGATATCTATCTGCAGTTCGAAGTATCAATTTTGCTTTCTTTTTTAAAAACTGGCATTATATTTGATTTTCTCCATAGATCCGGGACTTCTCCCGTTGCGATTGATTTCTTGAAAATAAGCGCTATTGGAGGGGCAAAAGCTGCACAATTTTTCAAGATGCGTGGATGAATACCGTCGCAACCAATTGATTTAGTTTCAACCAGGTCTTTAAGCCGTGTCTCAACATAAAAATAAAAATAACAAAAATAAATATAAAAAATATATTTTTATAACAAAATAATAAATATAAATATGTATAAATAAAAATAGAAATTAAAAAAAATTATAATAAACTCCAAAATAATAATTTTTTAATAAAATGATTTTTATTTTTGAAATTCTATATAATTTTGCTTGTTTTGAGATCCAAGATGACACTTTTGAAAAACTTTTTTTTTATAATATTAGAGACCCGGTAAGTGTTCAAGGGTCTTGTGCTCCCCTCAATCCAATTGAATTTTTAAAAAATTTAAAAATGTACAGCCATTTTTTTACAGTTCGATTATTTTAAATACGTTGAAAAGTAGTTGATAAATACACCAAAATTTTAAGATACACCAAAACGGTTTAATTTAGCACCGTTTCAGTTTTTTTTCTTGCTGTACACCTTTTTTGTATAATTTAACACCTTTTAATTAAGAATGTAGCACTTTTAATTCAACGAGGATTTAAACTTGTTCTTTTCTTTTTTGTTTTTATAACATTTAATGAGATGAATTGCTTTTATCAAAGATGGTCTATAATTTTTACTTTATAGCATTTAATGAGATGGATTTTTTTTTGAAAGATGATGGTCTTTAAATTTTGAAAGATGATGGTCTTTAAATTTTGAAAGATGATGGTCTTTAAATTTTGAAAGATGATGGTCTTTAAATTTTGAAAGATGATGGTCTTTAAAATAAGAGCAAGATTTAAAGTCTTTTGTATCTTCACAACAAAAATTTAAATTTAATATGGTGCTACCCGATAAACTTTAGTGTAACAGTTTATTAGAAAATATTTAACTTTTTAATCTCAATTTAAATTTAATTAATTTAATTTTTTAGTTGTTTTCTGAACGGTGAAAAAAGCAGAATAATAACGATCGCTTAAAACGCTGGAGTGTTGCTGCAAAGCACTGTGACAACATTTGCATGTGACATCTTATTAAGTTTTAATTTAGTACTTTATTTAAAAAAAACAACAACCCAAATAAAACTATTTCAATTTTTATTCTGAAAATCGTTGCGTATTTGTTCTAATAATGATAGGTTTAAAAGAATGTCTACAACAGTCATTGCCATACTTTTAGCAGAATTTAAAGCATGAATTTGGTTCTCCGGAGCTCCAGAACTTGTTGTAAATTCGTGCGTATGGTTTGCTGCAGGTGTTACAATTTTAAAACAGGGATGAATAGAAGGTTTAATCTGTGAAACATTACCCATATCAGTAGATGCTAATAGTTTACTCGCCATGGCATCATCGTTAAACTTTACTCCAATACTTTTAGCGTTATTTATATATAACTCTATCATAGTCGGGTTCGTTTTTACTGAATCATAAAACGGCTGGGTTTCGGAGATGGTTACAGAACAACCTAATTTAAAAAAATGATATACCAAGAAAGGTTTGATAAATTTTGAAAAGGAAACTTTGCGTTAAAAATGTTTTATGAATTGTTTGCTAGATATGACTATTATGATAAAAACAAAAATGCACACAAAGTTTAAATAGTTAAAAAAGTTGAACATACCTGTCGCAGCAGCAGCACCTGATGCGCATTGTTTAACTTTATTTGCAAGATCAAATGTATCTTCTTTAACAATTCCTCGTATAGATATAATAAGCTCACTTCTTTCTGGAATAATATTAGGTACTTTACCACCATCAACAATGATACAATGTATACGAGATGTTAACTTAGTTTGCTGTCGCAACATACTAATACTATTATAGCAAGAGACAGCAGCATCCAATGCATTGACTCCTTCCCAAGGAGCCCCAGAAGCATGAGCTGGCTTACCTAAATTACGTTACAGATTTACATTACGTGTGTGTATATATATATATATATATATATATATATATATTATATATATATATATATATATATATATATATATATATATATATATATATATATATATATATATATATATATATATATATATATATATATATACTGTTATTAAAAGTTATATAACATTTTTATTATTCATTTATTACATTATTCGAAAAACCAAACAAAGAACCTTTGAAAACAACTGTAAGTTGGATGCGTGAAAGCCATGTAGGAGCTGGGATCTCTAAAGGTGTAGGATGTGACATCATGCATATTTCTGTTTCGTCAAAAACACCCTTCTCAATCATTAAAATTTTTCCTCCACCACGTTCCTCAGCTGGTGTTCCAAATACTATTACTTCCATTTTTAAATTAGGATATAACGTTGCTATTTCTTTGAGAGCTAATGCAATAAAATAGGGCTTTTAATAAAATTCTTTAAAAATTTTACTATTATTAAATGTTACAATTTACAAACTAAATAAAATAATTTTTTACATTCTTTGTTTTTATTCTAAGATAATTTAAATGACAATGAACTGGTCACTTCCTTTGGTGCTTTTAAGCTTTAAAATACCAAGCAAATAGTATAAATGGTTAGCTTCAGGTGAAGAAACACTTATAACAAAAAAAAAAAAAATTTCAAAGACTCATAGTAATGCAGTGAAACATCACTATTCAATACCACAATACATATATATACATTTATAGTAAAAACATTAACAACTTCATGTCTTCTCAGATTATCTTTCACTACTGACCTTTCATGAAAACCATGTATGCAATCCATCGCAAAGTTAACATCTGCTAAGGTTATCTTATTTTATTGTGCTCTCAATTCTTTCTTACTCCTGATTCCATTCTCTATAAATCAACATTCTCTATAAATCTTCTTATATCAAATACTGGGCTAGTTCTTCTAATGAAAAATTAAATTAAAAAAATTAAAACAGCTATTCTAAATAATTTGCTTGTCATCTTATTCAAATGGCTTCTTACAGAAATCTTTATTTAGTTTACAAAAACAGGTACCCCGTTAAAGCTTTTGATATGTATTGCTGAAGTCACTTTAGTCCTAATAGCCAAAGGAGTCCTTTATAGAAAAATTATTTTCCACAAATATTAAAAGATAAATAATGGGAAAGAGGCAACTTATAAAACATTTTTTTGTTTAGAATGTTTTAATCACAATAAATCAATTAATATACTTCTGAAAAGTTATTAAAAGTTATTTACAAATAGTACATGTACTAATCTTTAGTAAAAACCTTGCTGGAGTTAATAATGATAACATTAATAAAAATTCTATTATTATAATAGAAATCAATAGTATCTGTAATAAATAATCTGTAATAGAATTAATAATAAGAGTGGAAGTAGTAATAATAACAATAATAACACAAATAATAATAATAAAATTAATAACAATAATCATAATCAATAGTAATATAATAATACTAGTATACATATATATAAATAAACACACACACACACATACATACACATATCTTTGAAGCTGTATTTGTTTAGGGAGGAGTGGAGCAAGTTGATTTTAAAAACATAGTATGACCTAAAATTCATAGGAAAGGTTGTTCCAAGAATTTATACTTTGATATTTTATGGGCTTATGTTCATAAGTAACAGCACAGTGTTTTAAGACTGGTAGGTTCAGATCATTTATTTGCACTTTTAGGGAAAAAGTTGAGGCAGGTTTTTGTGTTGGTGATTCCAGACAAACTGGCAATTTAGTAGTTGAACAAGATCACAAAGCTTGAGAATCTTAGAAGATAAAGCACAACAGAATTGAATTTGTAATTCTGAAAATACATTATCATTAATGCTTTGTTTTGAAGATGAAATACCCTTGTAACTTTTGTAAAATATCCTGTTGGAGTTGTCCCCATATTTGACAAACATATTGTATATGAGAACCAAAAATGGCATGGTATATATTTAAGAGTGTTTCCAGATTGACATAATGGTGAACCTTAGCTAATATTTCATTTGATATGCCTAATTTCACAAACTACGAACTGTTGTGTGGTATTCTTTATCCAAGAATGCATAGAGCATTTTTTGCATAGCTTTTTAAAAAAATTTGCCAAGGTCAGAAAAAGGGGAGATAATCAGTAGTTACACATTTCCATTGTAAATCATTTTTTTAAATATTAGTATGACTTTGTTACACTTTTTATACTTTTTATAGTATGTTTTTTTATGGAAACTAAGTATGCCACTTGTGAACCATGGTTTTGATTTTAGTTTAATTTGTTGCTTGACCAGTCTAAGATTTCTTCAAATGTTTTTAAAAGATAACAGCTCAAACATGGATGTTTGAGATTTTATCTTCTTTTTAAAGACTCTATGTCATAAGATTGGTCCATGGATATAATTACAATTTATTGTATTTGTTGTCAAAACAGGTTTGTCATTTCTCGAACTACTCTCTACTGTGCTTTAATTCATTATCACTTCAATCACCTTTCTATTTGTGCTATATTGGTTTTGTTACTTTCAAAACTCTTTTTAATGTTGTCTCTACTCAAATTAACCTTTCCTTTCCTCTTTAACTATTAATATTGTTTTACAGGCAAATCTATTATTCCATTTCTCATACATGCGTCTGATCTTATAACCTATCATAAGCATAAGATAAAATTATTTGCAAAGAACTTTTCCATTAATTCATCTCATGAATATAACAACAACACTCTTTCCTGACATTCTATAACAACAACACTCTTCCCTGACATTCTATAACAACAACAGTCTATCACACAATACCCTTTTTAATTGCTAGTATATAAAAAATTTCTAGAATATAAAAAATTTCCAACTTTGGTCCTATGTTGTTTCTGTATATATTAATGGCTTTCCTATCAAACTTAATTCTAAAGTGGTTCCATTTGCTGAAGATATTTGCCAACAACCATATACAAATAAACATTTATCAACAACCATATAGAAATAAACATTTATCAACAACCATATAGAAATAAACAGTCATCACTTTTTGATTATTTAGACCAGGCAATCTCGAATTTAATATCTCTCTGCAACAACATAAGGCATGCAGTAGCCAGAGAATTTTAACCCATAAAAAATGAAGTTTTTTTTGCTAATCATTATCACAACAATGTTGGTATGATCAGATAAAAAAACTTTCCAACACTTTTAATGAATCCTCCGCTTTAAATCATCTTGAATTGTTTTTCAATACTAACCTTTCATAAATATCAATATTGACAAGTTTATATCAAAAAAACATATATCCAATTGATTGCAAAATTAATTTGTACTTCTCTTTATTGTGTTAACTTCATCTGATTTTGTTAACTTAATAAATTTCTTATTGGTTTTTGTTTCAAATGCTGTTGTTATATTTGTTCTAGATCTGTTAATGGTGCCCATTCTAATGTAGTTAGGCCATTCTAATGTAGTTAGGCCATTCTGATGTAGTTAGGCCATTCTAATATAGTTGATTAATGGTTTTTTAATACTAACCTTTCAATATGTAATGAGGCCCTAAACACCTACAAAAAATTCAATTTTTTATAAGTCATGATTTAGTTAAGTGGCATTCTACTACAGTAACTGTTTCTGTTTTCTCAAAAAAAAATTATTTGTCTGTTATTTTCTGCAAACTGCTTTAGAATTCTCCCTCGTCTTCATGATAAATAATCATGTTTTCTTGATTAATTAAAACATTTTTATTTAGTTTAATCAACTGGAAACCATACAAGAAAAACAGTTTTTTAAGTCTTCTTTCATCTACTTTTTGCTCTTCATTTCCTAATATATGGTAACTTAAATAGTGATTGCCTGCACTCTTGTTAGGAGTAAATTTGTTAAAAAAGAAAAAAAAAATTCTTTCTTTTATTTTCATTTTCAAAAAAAGTTTCCAATATAGATACCAAAATCAAACTATCATGTTAATGCACAACTTAATATCTATTTCAAGTTAAATAGAAAATTCCAGGTATTGTTTTGTCATTGAGAATTTTTATTTTTATTTTTAATTTTTGTCAGAATCATTTAAGCATAATAAATATCTTTTATGGGAGAAAAAAAACGATGCTTTATTAGTAGAGGAACATGGGGTAAGATGACAAATGGGGCTAGATGACAACCTACTGTTACCTTTAAAACAAACTAAATATAACAGCTGACTTTAGCTGAGAGGGAAGTAGATTATATTTACTAAATTTATTTATGTTTATGAAATTTTTTTCGTGACAAAAGTATTGAAAAGATTTTTCTGACGTTGAGAAAGTTTTTTTTATCCTCGTTTGACTTAATTTATTTCATTGCTAGATCACCAGCTAAAGTAAGCAAGAAATTTTTATTTAGTTTGATAAATCTGGAAGCCATACAAGAAGTATTAGGCTATTATAACTTAAATATGTATGGTTCGGATTCATTTTAAAGATTGTATTATTGAAATACATGTTGTGATTTCCTGGGGCAAGATGATTTGTATGTCATTTTGCCCCGGACATCACAATATATATATTTCTATAAATAGCATGAATGTTGTTTTGTTAACTTTAACTTTGTCTACAAAGTTGTGTTTAACTTAAAATAATAGGCAAAATTATAATAAAATAACCTAAAATAATAGCAAACATTATTAAATATGTGTTTATATATATAATATTTATAAACACATACACACAGATATATATATATATATATATATATATATATATATATATATATATATATACACACAATTTTTGGTTTGAAAGTTTTATATTTTTAATATGTTATATTTGCATGTTGTTTATATAAATTGATATTGTCATTGTATTCTGCTATATTATTTGTAGTTATTAAAATGGTTCGTAACTATATCAGAACTACAAATAGAGGTGCCAATGGAAACTGGACAATGCAAAATATTTCTCTAGCAATTGAAGCATACAATTCCAATGTTTGCATTAAAAACCAAGCTGCTTTACATCTTGGTTTTCCAGAAGCAGCACGATGTTTTCTTAAAAAGTCTTCTGATCAGTTTCCACTCAGCAATGGAAGGCTTCACCAGTATTCCACTATACCAGTGGATATGGAAAAATCACTTGCAGAATATTTAATTGAGTTAAGCGAAAGATTTTTTGCTATGACATCAGTGCACTTCAGGAAATTTGTATTTGAATTAACATAATTTTATAATGTTCAATATAATTTAAACCAGGAATTAAAAGCTGTTGGTCTTAACTGGTTTAGTGGATTTTTGAAACAGCACAACAAAATATCAATGCAAACTCCTGAAATGAATTCTTTAAGTAGAACTCAAGGTTTTAATTCCCCACAGATTACAATTTTTTTTTTGGTTTACTCTGAGACCTCTTGAAAATGCGCGAATTTTCCCCTTCAAGAATTTTTAATGCTGACAAAAGTGGG